TATATATATATATATATATATATATATATATATTTTTTTTTTTTGCAGGACTATCCTTTGATTTCTGTCTTTGAGATGCTGCTTGTTGCAGACGCTGCAGAATCTTTAGAGCGCAACCTTTCTTTCGTTGAAGCTCTTGTTGTAAAGTCTTTTCCTGTTCTCTCCTCCAGAGTTGTCTTGTCATCAAACGTCTGTGATCGACGACGGCTAATTTAAATGTCTCTTTTGTGTAAAGGTCTTCAGTTGGTTTCGATTTTAGTACTTGGCTGAGGGCAACGGTATTTGCTAAACAAGTTTTTGTGATAACATTTTTTTGTTTAGGGTTTTTTTTGTTTCTTCATAAAAGAGAGATTTGAAGTGAACAGCCTAAATTGCTAGAATCCTCAAATCCTTCCCTATAAAAATTAAAAGATAATTAATTTGAGAAAACAGATAAAAAAAAAAGTTTCTAACTTTACCTTGCTTCAGGTCACCTAATATCTAATGATTTTATATAAAACTAGGTAGTAAAATAACATTGGACAAACCTAACTAGCTATTTCTACTAGATTTCTGCCTGAAAGGTGGTAGTTTAGCCCTTTTCTGCATTACAGATTTAAACTAACTGTATTTTATACGTTGCTGACTTGTTTCCTTAATATGTCATATTTGAGCTTAGGAGCTACAGAGTTGCATAAAACTCAGAGTGAACTGTCAAAGTTTGAATTTTGTTCAGAATATATGTTTTCCACATGTTGTTGCACAACTTTGCTTTGGTTTTTATGTGTCTGATCTTCTGTCTCAGCTGACAGTGGGTGATTTGTGACGGTAGGTAGTCTGCTGGATGCGTTTCATAATCATGTTACCGTCTACTTCAGCCTACGTACTTCTCATCAGGCTGTGTTTCAGAAAGCAGGAAGTTCGCTGCGTGTAATCTTACCGGCTCGTCAAGTTAAGTCTCATATTAAGAGATTTTCATTCGGACAACCAGCTTCTCTACAGACCCGTGCTTTTTATTGCACGTCGCTGAAAGGCAAAAACTCGTGTTTGTGTCTCTCTTCTGTTAGCAACAAATCTCGTGATCACAGAACGAGTTTTAATGACGCAGACGGTAACCGTTCGGTGCAAATATACAAACGGTCTTATTATTTAATTTTGCTCCTCCGCACGTTGCAGATCAAGGAGAAGTTGTCTCAGTCTCTGAAGGCCCTGCAGAAGCGATATGTGACATCAGACGCTGTGGTCACCAGCGAAGATGGAGATGCTAACCTCCTCTGCTCTGCTCTGGAGGCCATCTTCATCCATGGGATCAAGAGCAAGTTCATCCGCTCCGAAGCTGGAGGCCGGAGTAGGAAGACGGACCGTGGACCCCTCCCTCAGCCGTTTTTCTGGAGCCTCCTCAAGACCGTAACTCACCGGTTGGTTCAAACAGATAAAGAACATGAATATTCAGTTCACCAACAGATGATGACGTGTTAAACATTTTCCAGTTCATATAGTTGATTCTTTTAAATCTGTTTGACAAAACTTTATTTCTGCAGGGACGTGATCACAGAGCTGGAAAAGATCACCTTTCTCTGCACAGACGTGGGTCGCTGCAGAGCGTGGCTGCGCCTGGCCCTCAACCACGGCCTTCTGGAATGCTACTTGGCGTCTCTGTTTCGAGAGGACTCTAAGCTGCGTGCTCATTACCAACCCACCGCCCTACTCCTGAATGAGGAGGAGCGGGAAGTCCTGCTCAGCTACCTCCAGGGTCTGGCCTCGCTCACCTTCAACCTGTCCTACAAGTCAGCTGTTCTCAACGAATGGACCACCACTCCTCTGGCTCTTGCCGGACTGTGCCCCCTGGCCCTGTTGGGCACGCTCGACCTGCCAATCAATGGTGGAGACCATTCCACCGTGAAGCCAATGCGTAAGGAATCGTGGGATACAGCGTCTCAGTCATCAGGCTCCTCAGATGCTCTGGACGTGCAGAAATGCTGCCCGGTGCTGACAAGTGTTTTACAAAGAGAACCTGGGCTCCACTCCTCTAATTTAAGTCTGGACACCACAGAGTCCTCTCAGCTCTCCTCCAGTATTAGCTCCGATAGCCTCCTGCAGGGTCAGGACCCCCGCAGCCCAGCAGGGGACCCATGGTCCCCAGGTGACCTGAATGATGCACCCATTCATATCAGCATCAGCACCAAAAGGCCACACAAACAGTAAGTTTGTCTTTTTTTATTCTTTATTTTGCAGCACAAGATCTAAAGAAGTGTGGCTGGTAATAGTTTTATTTTCCTTTTTGTCACAATTGAAAAATGTATTTAAAAAAGTTCTGACCACTCTAAGGGTGGGGTTATAATCTCTGCATCATGTTTATAACATCATAAGGAACGCATTAAAGTGTGGAAGTGCCGCGCTCTGTTTATGGTTAGAACGCAACAGAGGCGAGATTGAGAACTGTAAACGGCACCTTCATCCAGTGCCCGGCAGTACTTCAGCTTCTTTGAAGTAAAAGGAGGAAAATGACGTTCAGAAGAACCTCACTGACATTCACGTTTCACTTCTAAAGGTAGTACGTGGACCAAGACTGCTGGGGACTCGTGAGCCAACCGCAGTCATGAGAGAATCTCCAAAACGTCTTTTAATTCAATTCAATTCAAAAATACTTTATTAATCCCAGAGGGAAATTAAGTGTTGTCGTAGCTCATCATCCTGGTTTTATTCAAGAGTTGTTGGATGCTGATAGCTGTGGGAAGGAAGGATCTCCTGCAGCAAATACGAAGAATCTGGCCACAGATATCGATCTGTTCACCCAGATCCAGCTTGCTGTCAGATCCGGCTGGCCTCTCGGTCCTCCTGGGCAGCAGGGCCGCCCGAATGCCTGCCAGAACTCCTCCCAGAGCGATGGCCACTCCTCCCAGCAGTCTGCCGAGCTCCTCGTCACTGCGGACAGCCAGCTGTAGGTGCTGAGGGACGATCCCATCCTTCCGCTGTCATGAGCCGTGTTTCCTGCTAGTTCCAGGATCTCAGTGGTCAGGCACTCGAGCACAGCTGGCAGGTAGATGAGAATGCGTCCACAGAACATCCTTTTCAACTCATTTGAGATTGGGGGCTGTAGTTGAGATATTACTTGAGCTTTTGCGATGTTAATCAGCTGCTGTTGGTTGTAGAAACTGCCTTGTTGCCATGGTTACGCATCACAACAAATGTCCAAAACTAAAAAAGTTTCAGTAAAAATCCTTCCAGCTGCACAGCATCTGATACCAGAGGAAACGATCATCCAAAAAATGTGATTTACATCCAGAAAAAGAGGAATTAAAGTTTCCAGAAGCAAAATCTCAGAATGAAAGTAACAGAGCTGCTCCAACATGCAGCCACCTGGAGCGGCGCAATTCTAGAACCTCACAACATAATCACTCTCAATAATTTAAAAAACTGGTCTAAAGCAGAGATCATCCATAAGTTTTTTTTATGGCCGTTCTTTGGAAATCAGGGTAGTAGATTGTACCAATTTTTTCTTTGTATGCATTTTTCATTTAACAATTTCTTGGTTAAAAAACTAAATTTTGGTCTACAACAAACTGCTTGTAGTTGATGCTTCCTCTTAATTTTTGTACTTCGTAATAGGTATGTCCAGGCCTGTATTATGAAATTCTTTATCAAAGGGTTCGTGAACGATCGGCACCA